TTTGAAGACTTGTCTATGTTTGGCGCCGTTCCTTCTTTGCCACTCGGCTGCACTGCAGCTCCTGATGATTTCGACACTTTCACAGACTGAAACAACTTTATTGGGAAGAAAAAAAAAACAATCAAATAAGGTACCTTCAATTCATCCGTAAGATCAGCAAGAGAAGTCTCGTTCACAGTGAGGGTAGGCTTTACTGTTTCATCCTAAATAAATACTAAAAGCAGCGCAATAAATATGCAATTTGTATGAAAGATACCTTCAGCTGTTGTGCCAACTCATCGATTTCACAAGCCAACCTGTTGTATTTCTGCTCAGGTGTTTCTGGCTCATCAAATTCTGAGAAAGAGTAACTCAGTGCCAATGGTCAGGAAAGCAATATGCGCTGTATATTTGAAAATTTTGGTAAAATTATAGCAGTCTATATTAGAAATGCTCTCGATTATGAAAAACTGCTTTGAATTCAGCAGAACATGCCGCAGCAAATATAATAAACACGTATTCTGACGGAATACAAGTCATTCGTCGTACCTAAGATATTATACTATATTTCTGACAGCTGATCAAGCTCCCTATCGATGACAAAGAAAAATTCTTCATTAAATTCGTCATTAAATCATTGAGAAAATCATCAAAACTGAAAATGCTGGAACAAAAAAGTTGGAATCCTCACCTTTGCCAACGACCTCCAACACGTACTGAGTACTTCCATATGATTTACCCCGCCTCTTCGCGATGGAGTCAGAGAAGTCTGAAGAAATAAAGATAAGGGCAAAGTTAGATAGTGATGACAGTAGATGACAAACATCAAACCTATGTTCCGGGTGTTCAGTGTACTGTCCTTGAAGCGCCTACGAGCCGCATTGATATCTATGTGAATCTGTAAATGCTTCTGAAAATTAACAAAACATATTTCAATCTAAATGATCTCACGGTGTATCATTGATTCACAGATTCGTGTGGAGGGGGTTTGCGGACTTTTCCTGGTTTTGAGTTCAAACTTGTAAAACCTCCACGTTACAGCATTAATTTCCGTACTCTCTTGTTGACTTTAGCCTTATAATCAGGGAAAGTCCGCAACCC